TCTTCCTGGTCGAAACCAAAAACAGGACATTAGAAGAGACCGCAGCCATTTTTGATGGTGAAGATGCCCTGGAGAAGATAATACACGAAGAGATGGCCCAAGGAACCCCTATTACTCATGAGATAGCAAAGGAGAAGGCGTGAAGTGCATTAGTGCGTACCTCACACCTTCCTTTACATAATATTCATTTCCTTGACTCAAGACTCTTGTTGCGCATACTATGTTGCACGTGCTGCTGCCCGTTTACCTGTACATCGTCGATTCGCCACTGCGCGGTATTTATGTACATGGCGATTGCAGTCCATGAATTGTTCTGCTATCACCCTCCACTTGGTGTACCACGACCAATATCGGCAGCAGGTTGCTGGTGGTATTGTTCGCCGGAAGACCGTGTTCATAGGTGTAACGCGCGACCGAGTTACAGAACTACTCCTGGTCTGTTGGCACGCCATTGTCGACGCCTTTGTACAACATTCTTCAACACTCGGGTTCGGTAATGTACACAAATCCGGGGTTTGCTTGCATTCCATACTTACCAAGCCTCTTGTGCGCAACAATGAGTTCATTGTTACTGCCAAGATGCGAGTTGGCGGGCTGGTGACCGTACGACGGATCTTCAAGCTTCATTGATCATTCTCGACTGTCATGATACTTGCTGTTCCACTGACAATGTCCTAGTATTGTCAGTGCCACTGCGATGACTTAGTTTCTAGGGAAGCTTAGACTTGGCTACGCAGGATGCAGTGACAACGCCGATCTGCCTACATCTAAACAGTCTGACATTTGCGCTTCAGGTACTGTTGGTCGACTCTCAGTTGGCGAGTTGATTCATGTTTCCCTGAAAATGAGCTCCAGGTGGACGTAGTTCAGTAGGGAAGAGGGGGAACTCAGCATATTTTGTCTACTTTTCTATGATACAAAAGACATTGCTCGTTGCCATACCAAAATGCTGCAGAAAATTAGTTTGAAGCGGACAATGCTCATCGAATGAGAAGGCTAAGGGCCACAGCAATTCCACATGCACCTGCGCAGGCGAAGAAACCCATCGGATATCCAGAGGGGTTATTCTGGGTACTTATAGACCAGAGCTGGACATATTCAATGTAATGGTGTCATGAAACGAGCTGCACACTCACGTAGCCTCCCAGAATAGGCCCAAGACAACGCGCGAGACTCACTATACTCTGCGCTACGCCGTTGGCAAAACCCACAGCTTGTGGGGGCGTCACTGATGGACATTTAGAAGTTAGGTTAGTATACAAAGGGTTGAGTAAATAGACGCACTGTAATTGAGAAGGATAGACACTGCGGTATATCCGAAAGTAGTACCGCAAAAGCGCACCGCACTTTAGCAGGGTCAGCTTCACAGGGGAACCACTCGCAATTGGAGGTGATACTTACGTGCTAAGAGCAAGGGCTTCGAAAAAATGAAGGAGAAAATCAAAGAAAATCAAACAGAGATCTCACAAAACGTAGTGAAAACATACCAGACAACAGGATGAAATTGTTTTCAGCAGAAGGGCTGGCAAAAACGCGATATATGGTTACAGTTAAGTATGCCGGAATGAATAATAACGATCCTAGGCGAAACATGGAAAGGTGGGAGAAACGCCCCCTGGGTGGCCTGCAATAGAGTTAGTAGTATGGTCCCAGTAGGACGAATTTACGTGCCCGATATTCCTACATTGTTCAAACACTTTGAGCGCATAATGAGTGCACGCAGCGAGACAGCACTTACGGATAAAGGTAAAATTGATACACGATCTGTGCGAGACACATCAATGCAACTACAGTCATTGGGGTCAGTGCCAAGCCAGCACGTTTATCAGCTGAACATACTGAGCTGCGAGAAATCGGCAGGGTTGAGGTTAAGGCCTCCAGATTGGTAGTCACTTTGCATAGTCAGCATTGGAACATGAGAAGCGCAATACCACTTACGTCACGAGGTACGACAAGAAAATTTGATCATGTGTGGTGCTGTGAAGTGCTAGCAAGCCGTACTGAATAATGATGGGGATGGGTAATTGCGATGCAAGTGACGGAGTCCTGTCAATGCCATCGTCCTCCACGCCACCTGCGTGAGTCCGGTTGGGAACAGGAGAGGTTCCCCAGTCCATTTCCGCGCGAGCCAATGCGTCGAGAACAGCAGATGGCGTGCGCACGCCTGGATGAGAGAATATGCTTCGAACGCCAGGAGAGGTACGATGTGCTATGATGCCGGCATGCCCAACGCTGTTAGCGTCTTGGGGTGCGCGATCCAAATGTAATGACCCGGTGGCATCCCGATCAGTATATTCCTCGCGAAATACCCCGTCTTCTGCTGAGTATACTTCACGGTTTGAGTATAAATCCTCCTTGTCTACATTCATCGCGGCCGCAACCCAAAGGTCAGCAATGTTTGTCACCGCGTTCTCATTCGCCAACAGAAGCTTTTGGGTAAAATTGAGGTCTGAGTAATCACGGTCCGTGAACGATCTTCCATCATGGTACTCCCTTCGCCGCCTCAGTCTGTTCTCCATGCTTCCACGACTTAGTGAGCTAGCAAGCCCATGATTTCCGTTGTACCCGTACGCTGACCCACTGAATCGAGCTGCCTGAGCATGGGGTTGATCCAGGGGCGATGACAAGAGAGGAACGGAGGTCGCGGAAGGATTCTTGGCACCGAAGTATAGAGACGATGGTGAAAGGAACCCCGGCAGTCGACCCGACCACTTCTTCTTCAATGACCCTATAATGCCTAACGGCGACTCTCTGCTTCGTGGATCAACCGTATCGGCTTCTTCGGGTATCACCAATGGTTGATTTGAGGCTTTTTCCAGAGGCAAGCGAATCGCGCCTCCCCTTGGTCCTCCGTCACGGGCCAGGAACAGGGACAAGAACGAACCTAACAAGGTGTGAAAGTAATTAAGGGGCAGTTAAAGAGACAACTGACCAATCATAGTGATACTTCCGGCCACGGCACATGGAAGAAGGTAGGGGTACTTCACCAAAATATGTACCTGTCCAAAAGTTTCTGGCCACTTCTCCGCAGGTTGTTCGACTAAAAAGCAAGTCAAATACAGAGTTGAGATGTCATAAGTGGCTAACGTACGCGACCCCCCAATGATTGCGCCCGCCACACCACCGATCCCCCAGCAGAAACTGTGCAGAATATGAGTGTTTCTTCATAAGAAGGAAACCATAATTCGCACCCCAAGATCGCATACGCTCGTCCGTCATTTGTGATATCGGTCACTGACGTGACAGTTCCACGCGCAACCCCCACCGCCCCTGCGAAGATACCTTGGAGAAGGCGAGCGACAAGGGCCTGACGGAGAGAGGTGCATGTACCAAAAATCACAACAGTAACTGCGCTGCCAAATAGCGAAAGTGTCAGGACAATTCGACGACCGTGCCGCTCAGCAACAGTGGCCTGAATCGAAGATCAACTGCATGAACTTCACGAAAGGAAAGGAAAGCTATCAAACTTGCCCATAGGAGAGACGTGAAGAACTGAGTGAAGAAGAACGCGGCCACTGGACGGCGATGAGAAGCCTGTTCATAGACGGTGTTAAACCACCGCACCTAGTACACCTGTATAAAAGGCAACGTCTGCCTCGTCTTCAAACTCGTGGAACCCTAGGGAACAATGTGAATCCCCTCTCGGAAATGATACCTGTCTCAGTTCGCGCACCCTTCACCATGAATAACAGAAATGGCATGGCTACATTAGCAGACAAGAACTCTCCAAGCATGGTCTATGTAACGGCTCAGCACAGCAGGGACGCGGCACAGTAGGCGTGAAACTGACAATAGACAAAACTGTCATGGACAGAATGGGGAGGGGGGTCATCCCCGACTCTCCGCCATGGAGCGCACTAGGAATTGGTGGGCGCTCAGAGGTTGGGGACTTCACCGTGTGCCCATGTGGGAAGCTTGCTCTAGGCTGAATCCGAGGTGGGGATGTTGCCGAAGATTGCCTATCATCCCAACTTGCGGAAGGCGGACTAGCATCTCCATGGAACTGGATCCCTAGTGCGTTGGGGACACCGAACAATCTTCTGGGTGGTAAAGGGGAGCTACTCGATTGCACAGGATTCCTCATGGAAAACAACGAATGTCGCAGGCAAGACGGCCTCGGGGCGTTAGTCTCCCTGTCACCTCCCCGTGGACGCGGTCTTGCAAAGCCCAATCCTTGGACGCTCAATGACGAACTGCGGTCGTATTACATAAGCATCCTAGTCAGTCCCACTTCTAGCTTGCATGATGCCGGCGAAAGCACAGCGTTGAGGTCAATTATTAAATCTCGGGAACACCGCGTGGTGTTTTGTCACCCAGATGCCGCCAAGGTCTAGAGATATCGCGAATTGCGAATTAAACCTTTTGCCCTCCGTTTTGCAATCCCACTGATCGGTCTTTGTAGTAGTGCAGTGCAAGAACGGTGACGTTCAGCGCTGTTCATGGTGCGGTGCGGTCAGGAACGGATCGTACTAGTACAATTGAAGCAACATGCCGGGCACGTCATCGCCGTGTTTCCGTCCTCCATGATTCACTTCCATGCGCAAACTGGTTTAATTCACCAAAATCTTCGATGGATATACATACGACTATGCAGCCTTTCCCCGCATGCCATATCAGCGAGTAAGAATGACGAGCCTCTGCTATTCGCAATCCCCTGAATACACCACGCTACCTTCGACGTCGGGATCCCCTGTTCCCGAAGGTTTCGTGCCTTGAAATAACGTGAACCTATCTTGAACCAACTTTTGAAACAATTCCGGTACGACCATGGAGGTAAGTACACAGTAAGTGAGTGGAATGTCCGAATGTCCGGGGAGAAACCCCAAAATGGACTTCGAGCGAGCGTGGACTCTGCTTAGCCACTCGACTCCTCTTACCCGATCACTGCCCCCCTATCCCGTAAAGTTGTGACCATTACCTTTTTGTGCGCTGTCTGTGTCTCTTGCTGATTCATAGATGCTTGAGGTCAGTAGAAGTCGTGCGCCGCGGGCTAGCAGGCAATCGCAATCAGAACTTTACTCATCGGTCTTCTCGACATCCTATAAGAGATGCTCCTGCCACCACTTTCGTCCACCACACTCGCCATGTTTCCGCCCACGCTACGTCCTTCTTCCCCCACTAAGGTCATCATCCCTGACCTCGTGTCACACTGTACATTCGCATTGCGAAGTAGCATACATCAAAGAAGGCTCTCCGCAGAGTCCGAGAGGTGGCTGTTTAGGAGTGACAATCTCAACGAGAGCACTCGCCATTCCTTCCGCGGGCTGAAGGCCGGCAAACTCACTGCAATGTGCTACCCGAACGCCGGATATCCTCAACTCCGTGTTGTTAGCGATTTTCTGAATTGGCTATTCCATCTCGATAATTTGTCGGATGACATGGACAACCGCTCCATAACAGAGGTTGCGAACGTCGTTATGAATTCTTTGCATCATCCGTATACATACCGGTCCAATGTCCGGCTGAGTCGGATGACCCGGAGGTAAGTTTTTGACATGCACCCCCGGCGACACGGACACTCACGGTTCACTTGATCAGCTTTTATAGGCGGATTATCAAGACCGCAAGCCCCGGGGCATGCCAACGCTTTGTCGAAACTTTGGAATTCTTTTTCCAAGCCATCAACGAGCAAGCGACCGACCGCGCCAAGAGCTTTATCCCTGACCTCGAGTCATACATTGCGCTTCGTCGTGATACAAGCGGATGCAAGCCATGTTGGGCGCTCGTGGAATACGCCTACGACCTCGATATACCCGATAAAGTCATGAATCATCCGTTAATTCTCAGTCTAGGAGAAGCGACTAACGATCTCGTTACTTGGTCGAATGTCAGTAACATATCCATTATTGTTGGACTTTCTTTTTCTCATCATGAAGCGGTATAGGACATATTTTCCTACAATGTCGAGCAATCAAAGGGACACACGCATAATATGATTGACGTCATCATGAACGAACGGGGCATTGATTTGCAAAGTGCCTTCAATTTCGTCGGGGACCTCTGCAAACAGTCCATTGACCGCTTTATTGAATGCCGCGGGCAATTGCCTTCATGGGATCCCAAGATCGATCGGGACGTTGCAATTTATGTCGAGGGACTTGCGGACTGGATAGTTGGTAGTTTACACTGGTCGTTCGATACCGAACGTTACTTCGGAAGGCGTGGACACGAAGTTAAGAAGACGAGAGTCCTCAAGCTACTCCCACCGCGAAAGCTGCTATCAGGGCGTGCATTCTTACTAGTAAGTTGACCCTTTAGCGTCGCTGTGGCTTTGGTCACTGGTAACTAACTTCCGTTCCAGCGGCGGAGCCGGCAAACATCCTTCAGCCATGTCTAGTATCTATACGGCTGTCTAACTTATGAACCATCAGGGGCCAAGCACCAACACTCCTTTCTCGTGGACTATTTTCGCATGATATGTATCTTATAGGCTAATCTAGGCGACCATCGGGACCGCGGACGGACTCACAAATATTATAACTAGGAATTGGAGTGTAGCGAGGCAGTTAGCTTGTGTGATATTGCTGGATGATAAGTACCGTACGCAATAGGCGATATTATTCTCCGGGCGGTGAGAAAGGTGCCCGTGGAAGACCTCGGGCCCTACTAACATATATATGACTGATGATGCCGAAAAGAAGAAAAAACCAGTGTCAATGTGGAATGAGGGTAGTCGCGCGGCTTTATGTAAAAGAGTACGCAAGGAGACGAAAAGAAAACGAACGAGTCAGGTGCAAAATGTATCAGCGGTGCCCTTATGAATCAATTGCCGATCTCTCGTCCGCGTCTACAGGTTGACTCCGATTAGCGTTTATCATGTTATAAAGTTGTAACTTACCTAGAGCATCAGCATCGAACGATTGTCCACCTTTGTCATCGAACCGGACGTCCCTGGATCTCCAACGGTCCTGCCATTTCCGGATAAATACAGGGTAGTTGACGACACCAGCGAGCGTGCCCACGTTCCTCAGACGGACGTGAGCCAAGCTAGGCAGATCGGACTGTTCGATCTGACACATAAGATCTTCTAACGGCTTCATGATGTACGCGTTGAATATCTGCGCGGGGACTCCAACCACGTCTTCACTGATTGGAAATATTCCAATGCGTCTCAGCGACGAATGTGTCAGCTGATCTAAGAATTGGTGGGGGAATATGGTGATGAATGTCTCGAGGTTGGTGCACTTGGCGATGATATCTGGTAATAGAGGAGTGTACGCGACGGTACGGATGATGCGAATTTTGTAACCATGAGTGCTCAAGAAGGTGGGACTGAAGGGTGAAAAACCCTCCAATCTTTGTAGACAGGGGAGTTGGTCCGAAGAGTCGGAAAGCATCGTCAGGAGCGTATTGAGAGGCACGTTTCCAAGTGATGCATGTGAAAATGAGGGACTATCTCCTAGGATAAGGGTCCGAAGGTTAGGTAGTATGAGATACTCCCTCTTGATTCTTTCGGGGTATGAGCCATAAATGGTTGCAAGGGTGAGACTGCAAAGGCCATGCAACGCGCGTAACAATAACATCAAATCGTCCCACGACGGACATTCGTTGCACGTCCACTCGAGACGTGCGAAGTGAGGATGCACTAGGTACTCAAGATGGCTTGTATGACGTCGCTGGAGGTGCAGAATG